TTGTATTTTTGTTTAATATTAATAAAACAAGAGAATTAATTAAAGAAAAGATAAAATGTTTTAATCTTAAATTCTATATTTTTTTATATTTTGTATTGGTAATAACTAAAGCGAGTGAATTAATTAAAAGAAATAAAATGTTTTTTAAGTTATTATTATATGTTTTTTTTAATAGTTTTTATATAAAGTATTATTTAAGAATTAATAAATAATTAAACTAAATTAGAACTTAAAAGCTATCAATTTAAACCTAATTAAAAAAAAAGGATACTAAAACTATTAAATTAATCTCAAACCTAAGCTAATAAAAAGGTCAAATATTCAAGATATCTAATTAAATGATAATTATTTGACTAAGTCTTATGATTAAAAAAAACAAAGGTTAAAGAGAACAAAATAGGAATAGAAATATTAATAATCCAAGGGAAGGTAAAACATAACCAACGCATGGGCCAAAGAAAATCAAAGGGAGGCCCAATCAAGACAGCAAAAGGGGGTGCAACATGGGATTTACTGGGCTTATACAGTGAGACGGGTTTGGTCCAAACATATTTCCATAATTTTGTTTTAGGGTAAAACGCATGTTTTGGTTAGCTGATAAAGGGATTAGGTTTTGGTTTAACAGCGACGGCGCCGTTCTCCTTGTATCGTCTTCCTCGCGTGATTCCTCTTCTTCTTTCGCTTCTGAACTTCCGCCTGAGCTCTCCCGCCACGGTCACCAGCTTCTCAACTTCTCTTCCCTCCCACGAAAAAGTCAGGGACGATGGATTCACGGTAAATATTCCCAATTTTTTATTAAGTTAGGGTTTTGTTACAATTGTTACGATCTTTGCATGTGTTGATTTACATCTTTTGATTCTGATTCTCTATTATTGCGTTGATTTGAGGCATTTTTTGGAGAAAAAAGGAAAGAGAAGAGCTACCTTTGGAGACGGAGGAGGGGTTGAGGATTGCGTAGGAGGCCGGGACGGTGAGGAAGACACGTGATGCTTGCTTCGGACTACTGGTATTTCGTTCTTATTTTGTTTAATGATGAAAGCCCCTGAAAACAAAACCTTCTTTTCTCTTGCTAGCTTTCGTCTGCTTCGCTGTTGCCTTGAATTATTTCTTTTCCTTCTTCTGCTGTTGCCTTGAACGTTATGTTACCTTTGGGTGCTATTGTTGGAATGGTTTGACAGTAGATGCTTTTTTTCTCTTCTTCTCAGCTATGCTTCTGTATGCTTTTGTTGGCCAATGATGATATAATCTGAGGCCTGATGGGTTTGGGATGTTGGTTGGACAGTTTTGTGATTTTCTGATCTTTAGGCCATGCTTTTGGTTTTACTGGTTTAGCAGGTTTTATGGTCTTGGTTTATGAGATAACAGGTTAATGGTCTTGGTTTATGAGATAGCGGGTTTAGGTTTTTAGGCCATATGGTATGATGGTTTTGAAAATGGTTATGGTAGCAGGTTTGGTGGTATTATGCAGGTTAATGGTTTAGGCCATAAGGTTGTGATATGGTTTAGGCCAAGGTTTTATGGATGGTACAGGTTTGTGGTTTATGTTGATGGTGTTTGTGATTTCTATCAGGTTGGGCGTGTGATGATTGTGAAGGTTATATGGTTGATCATGGTTTTGATTTTGGTGATGGTTTTACTGGTTTTATGCAGTAGGTTCTATGGTATATGCAGGTTAATGGTTGTATGCCATATTTGTTTGAAAATGGTTATATGGTTTTTTGGTTTGACAGTAGACTCTACTGGTTTTTGTTTGAGACTTGGAGAAAAAAGGTTTTGCTTTGATAGTTTTTAGTGTGGAAGGCTTTTGCAGGTTATGAACTCTTGACCATTTGAAGGAGTTTGCAATGTTGTATATAACAATTGCTGGCTTGGTTTACGTTATAGGCTTATGGTATATTTTAATATATTTCTTTAGCCTTCTGCACATCTGCTTCATACAGTTTTGTTTGGTATTCTATTTCCATGCTTTTCACTTCTTATTGAGTTACTGTTGTTCTGTTTCTATCCTCTTCCTGCCTAAACCAAAACCTGCAAAACCATACTTCTATCTCTCTTCTCTCTCTCCAATACAAATTGACATAAAAATGATATGTTATGTATTTTGTTCTGAAAAAGCAATAGTGCTGGAAAATGATGTAAATGGAAATGTTTTCATGCTTGCATATTTGATTCAAAAATTGCATGCCTCTCTTTGACTTGCAATGTAACAGTAGGAGCCTATTGTTTTGGCCTCTTCCTATATGGTTGCATGTTTACGTTGGCTTTTGTGAGAAACTTGCATATGCTGTTGATTTTTGTATGTTGTGTATATTTTTTTGAAATATACAGTTTTTTGACAAAAAGAAATTATGCATATTTGAAATATGCAATTGGCTTTTTAATTATGCAGTTTTGAAAACAAAAATGAATTTGTGCATCTTTAAATTGTGCATTCATTTTGAAAATAAAATCCATCCCTTTTTGTGAACCGGGAGAAATCCCGCGATTTACAAAAAGGGTAAAAACTGATTCCAGCCGTTTGCTTTTAATGATGAACACTAAAAAATAATTTTTTTGCTTTTAATTATTTATTTATTTCTGACTTTTTCTTTTAATTGTTTTGCAGGTAAAATTAAATGAGCAGACAAAAATGCATTGGATAGAAGATGAAGATTTAGAATTTAGGAAAAATTAGAATAGTTTTTATTTTACTTTAAGCCTTTTATATAATTGTTATTGTAAATATTATGTAAATAATACAATATTTAAATAACAATTGTAATAATTAGAATAAAGTAAATAAAATTCCAATATTTTACCAATTAATTCTTTCTTCTTTCCAATTATTTATTTATCGTTTATAATTCTTTAAATTATATAGTAATTAAAAATCAATTTCAATTACTTAAATTCAGAATACTAAACAAATAAATAAACATCATTGATCAATAAACTTCTCTTCAATCTATTCCATTATTTATAATTCTCTAAATTATAATAACTGAAAAAATAAATTTCAACTATTAAACTTAGGATAATAAATAATTAAATAACATTGCTGATCAATTAATGAGTTTCCTTTCAAATATTTATTATATTATTTATAAATCTTTAAATTATATAATAACTGAAAATAAATTCCAATTATTTAAATTTAAGATAATAAATAATAAATAAACACTGTCTGAACGATTAATATGCCTCCTTTCAAATATTTACTTTATTATTTATAGATCTTTGAATTATATAATAACTGAAAATAAATTCCAATTATTTAAATTTAAGATGATAAATAATTAATAAACATCATTTAAGTCTTGATCAGTTAATAAATTTAGCGTTCAAAAAATAAACAGCTCTCGACTCGAAAAAGTTATGAATTTTAAAAATCAAAAGATCCAAACGCTCGCAATGTAACGATGCAGATGAGAGATGATATCTTAGGTCAAAATTTAGGGTACAACAGATTGTATACAAGGTACAATTGCAAGATTAAGGAAAACTTGGAATTCAAATGAAAATTGGAAGGAAAATATCCATTTAAAACCATATGGAAAAAGTTTTGTTCATTAAGTACAAGTTGCATTCAACAAAAGCCAACATAATCTTTGGTTTTTATTCAAGGTTCAATAGGATGCTTCAAATGGTTCAAATCCATTCAAGAAAATAAAGTCCTAAAAATTTAGAACTAATGCTAATTTACATATTCACCTTCAAATTTCTCATACCCTATGTTTTCTCAAGCTCCTGCCAAACCCAAAACTCACCCCACCTATGAAGAGATGGTAAAGGAAACGATTGTTGCTTTGAAAGAGAAGAACGGTTCGAGCCAGTACGTGATTGCGAAGTTCATTAAAGAGAAGCACAAGAACCTTCCGTCGAACTTCAAGAATATTTTGCTAGTTCAGCTTAAGAAGCTTGTTGCTTCTGGCAAGCTTGTTAAGGTGAAAGCTTCCTACAAGTTACCGGCGAAGCCTGCTGCTGCCAAGCCTGTAGTCAAGGCTAAGCCAGCTGCCAAATACTAAGATGCACATTAAAACAAGTTGCATAATCAATTTAATAACACACCAAAATAGGTTATTAACCAATTTGTGTATCACAATAACTAAAAAACCAATTCACCATTTAATCAAAATAAGAAAAACTCAGTATTCAGAAATTCAGATTAAACCAGTCCCTGCTACAAAAATCTAGCTCAGCAAACAGAAATATCAAAAAAATTAGAGAAATATAAGAAATAAGGGGGAAACCGTGAAAACAGAAAGAGGCAGAGAAAAGTTCTGAAAACTAATTCGACAACTCTTACTCAGATCAGATCCTCACCGTTGATCTTTGTAACCAACTGTTTCATCTGAAGGCCCTGATTCAATCTTCTATAATAAACTGATAACAGAATATAAAACAGAAAATCACACCAGGTTCAAATCATTCTTCATTATGCGGAGGAATCAACATAAACTTCTCATTCTCTCTCTCTCTCTCTCTGAAATTCATCTTCACTCTCCTCTTCTCTGAGCCTCAAAAACATTTCAATCTTCATCACAGAACTTCATCACAACCTTCGTTCTAATAATTCCCAGGAGCTACATTGCAACAACACGTTCGCTTCTCTGCATCTTCATTCCTTCATCATCCCTATTTCAGCATCATCCTCAACAAATCTTTAAGCATTGTGCACTTCCTCAATCTGCATCACACGCTTCACATCGTCATCATAGTTCAGTCGTTCACTACACGCACATGATAACATCTCAAACGCAGAAGAGGCGGGAAAACTAAAGGTAGAAGAAGGATAAATTAGCGAAGAAGAAGAAGAAATTTTAATGTAGTCATACCTGGTGCGAGAGTTCTATGGTCTTCTTCTTCTAATCCCCAACATCGAAGACGCGTCGGACGAACTCCAACTAGTAAGTTTCAGCTTCAACTTTGCTTGCATCGTTCGTATAGTAACTTTCTTGAATGTGTGAAATCTGTGACTGGATTCAAAAAGCTTCGAAGCTTCTTTGTTCTTCGCATAGCTTCTATTTGGATGTGTAGTTAAGGAAAAACAATAGAATAAGGAATGAAGAGGATGAACATAGATGAGTAGATATGGAAATGGTCGTGTATAGATGTGACATCGGCGATAAGGAGGAATCATCGGAGAAGAGATATCGAAGGTTGAACGGAGGTGTACGGTTAGAGGTTAGTGGCGATAAGGATGTCTCGTGGCTAAGATGAGAGGCTGGAAAGAAGGCCACCGTGCATCGAAGCGAGGGATTCAGACAACATTGTAGATCATAGAAGACGGAGTTGCCATGGTGAATGAGAGAAGAGAGAGTTTCATGTAGAAGTTGAAGGGACACCCCCTTTTGAACCCTATTCCCTTTCCAATTTTGCTTTTGTTGTTTTTTTATTATCGAAACAGAAATATGAGACAGTATAACAAAAAAAAAAGAAAAACGATTGGACTTGTTTATCTCTTTGGGCCGAACCATGTCTTTTTAAGCCCATAGTGTATTTTGGAGCAGTTTGGAAAAGTGAACATCCCAAAAAAAAAACTGGCTGGTTGGATCACACTGCTGGGCCTTAGCGCTAGCTTTCTTCAGCAAACCCCTAGATTCCGGCCTGTACACTCATTGAGCCCAATATGAATTTTTTTCCAGCCTAAATGCATTGTACAAAAATTTCTCTCGGGCCTTGCATTGGTTGGGCCTGAGCGCCTGTTAGTGAACCCACACCCTGGATTCAAATTGCACACTCTCTACTTGTAATTGATTTTAGTTTTCTTAAGCTATTTCTTTTCATAATTGTTAGATGACATTTTTGTTAGTAAAAAATATTGATGAAACAAAAACATTAATAAAAAATGTTAGATTTTTTATTTATTTGTTTTTTTTTAATTAAATCTCGATTATCCGATTACTTGAGATTTGTAATTCACATTTGCTTGTTGAGATTTGAGTCTTATGCAGGTTTATTGTGCGATATGCGGATGCGCTTGAGGTTTTGATTGTGATTTATTTTCACACCAATGATGTTTTGACACTTATTCCGAGTGTAATGCGTTGGGAGAACTGACTTGGTTGTTTTGCGTTTGATCGCAAATGTTGCAGTTTAGCAAGAGTCGTCACCGACTTTTCTTTTATCCAAAAGGAAAGGCTGGAAAGAACAGGAAAGACCTTTGAGATATTTTCTTGAGTTCGGGGGTAGATTATGAAAAGGAAATGTATTAGCACCCTTTCCATCCATGGTTTTCCATGGGCTCTTAGTTACTTGCTAGATCGCTTGCTTTTGTTTGAAAATGTGCTTTGTGTGGTTTTTGAAAGTATTTTGTAAAGATGTCATCGTTTAGGCAAACTTTGTAATGATTCTTGTTCGTAAGAATGTATACAAAGTGTTGATATTTTGAAAATGTTTTCAAGTTTGAAAGATTTTTGTTGAAATTATTGGTGTTTGTTTTGAAAATAGCAAAAATGTTTTTGTTTTGAAATTGAGCAAGCAACTAGGAACATTCTACCTACTCAAAAGTCTTTCATGTTCATTTCCTCTTTCCTTTGACATTGTTATCTTACAATTGATTTGGTAAGTAACCCTATCTTTGGATGTAAAAGGGACGGACAAGGGTCATCGTATAGCCATGATTAGCAATGTTATAAGATATCTTAACATTTTCTTTAGGGACTAAGATCATTTTGAAAGGCAACATGGATAGCGTCATCGAGGGACTATGATCTTGTATTTTTTGCTTGTTTTTGCTAAGATACCTCACATGCATAATATGGCAATTTTTGTAAGGCAACAAAGTGGGTTTACCCTAAGGGTGTATGTGTGGAAGTGTATTGGTTTACATGCTTGATTTGTCTTGATTAGGGTTTACTACTTGTTGGTTTTAATTTTTCCATACAAAACCCTAATTACTAGCATTTGTATATAAAACATTTAAATTGCGGAAAATAAAAATACTAAGTTATTACATCATTTAGGGGAGGGGGTGTACAAATTACAAATGGGGAATTGCAAGAAATTAAATCTAAATAATTATTACAACCATATTGAATATTGAATAAATGTACAAAATTGAATAACTAAAAACGCAAGAATGTAAATGTAAAATGAAAATGTGATTTTTGTTTGGTTTTCATGAAAAGGGTTTTTTGACCTAATTAAATAAAATAATTAACTAAGAATAAGAAAATTAATATTAAGTTAATAAAAGAAATTAAAGGAAACAAATTTGTAGGGTTTTTGTGTATTTAATTAAACTAGTAAATAAAATAAAAGTCCTAAGTTCTAAATTGATTTTAATTTACAAGAAAATAATATAATAATAACTAAGATTTATCATCTAAGTATTTAAAAAAAAGGAAATTAATTTATTAAAGAAAATGTTTTTTGTTCTTTTAGTTTTTATGAAGAAAAATAAACTAAATAAGTATAAATAATAAAAAATATAAATATTTTTGGATTTTTATTAATGAAAATAATAATAATAATAATAATAATAATAATAATAATAATAATAATAATAATAATAATAATAATAATAATAATAATAATAATAATAATAATAATAATAATAATAATAATAATAATAATAATAATAATAAAAGATGAAATAAAAATAAAATAAAAATAATAAAGTCAGGGAGGTTAAAATTGAATTTGGGAGGTAATGTTAAGAAAAAGTCAGGCCTAAGGTTTTGCTGGCCCAAGCGCTACCTGAAAGGGAAAATGACAAAAAAATATGGAAAAATGCAAAAGGCAGTGCGCTGTGTGTTGAACCCACGCCCTCTTGGTTACCAGCGCGCTGCCTTACCACAGGGGTGGCTATACATCCGTTAATTTAAATGAAGTGATAAATATATAATACAAAATAAGTCATGAATACACTTCATCTTCAACCTCCAGCCAGACCACCTGTATCTCATTCATTTCTCAACAAAAATGGAAAATGCAAATATGAAAGTTGCTCCATTTTTTTATACGAATCCAACCATATAAATATCATGAACTATAAATCAAAGATCAATGAGTATTTTTGAAAGTACCAAATTCTGACCTAATTATTTTCAGAGGTTCCATCCTAAAATTCTCCTAGCTCAATCAATATAAATAAAACCTATGGACATGTACAACTTCAGTTAATGATGTCTACATTTTATCTTCACAAATGCAAGTCTAACAATGCCTAAGTAATGAGATAGAAGTTCAAGAAAAATACCTAAAAACTGGAAATCGTGAAATGTAAATGAGCTTGATTCAAGGTGCTGCAATGATCAGGTTAGTTTCCTCAAGTTCCCAGAAAGCTAATGCAATGATTAACTTGAGTTAAGAGTGGCTGAAATGGCTTGGAGAAGTCAATGTGCAATGCTCTGTTTTTGGCTATGGAGGAAGATGGAAATGGAGTTACAGTTGTGTAACAGGGACAGGGATGAGTTGTATTTGATGTTTATAAGCTTTAGGAACCAAAAGGCTTGAAAACGCACGAGGGAGATGTGAGTTTCAAGTTTTTGGTCAGAATGTGCAATAATGGTGATTTTTTATTCAGTTCTGAGTTCTTGTGTTTTTTTGGGCTTGTGTATCCGTGTGTTTTCTTGCAAATGGCTTGTGTATCTATAAGCAAAAGGTTGGAGAGGTTTTGCACAAAGGATTTCTGAGTTATAGGGTTATGGCTAAGTTGCTTAATTTTGAAGAAAAGTGAGAAATGTAGTTTCAAGGTAGAAAGTACAAGCATGTAGAGTGGTTAGGAACTTTAAACATGTTTGCTTCTGATCATTTATCTTGACTATGGACAGAGGCAACAAGTTAGGAGCTCAAGGAGAGTTGACATTTGCAAAATCAATGCTTTATCAAAATAGCAATGGTAACTTTGTTCCATAAATGGAAAACCAACTTGGACAAAGCTTCAAACACTTGGATAATAGCTCAAACGCAAGTGTAATCTTCTGATTAGGGAGAGATCTTGAGGTTTAGAGGCCTGCAAAGCAAGATTGTGCCGCATAGGCTTGAGATTTGAATTCATGTTCATAAAAAATGACCTAAAATTTCAGTTTGAAACCCTAACTTCCTCTCTTCGATTCTCCTTGCTCAAGAATGATCTCAAGGAGTCCTTGGACATTTTAGAAAGCTTGTAATGTTCTATATAATCCATATTTGAATCACTTTTGAAAATTCCCCTTGGAACTATGTGAAAAATTGCCATGAAGTTAGGTCAAAATCCAGCCTAAACTAGGGCTAAATTCTCACTAAGTGTTTAGTTTCATGACCCTGACTTTATGGATTAATAACTTGAGATCCAAGAATTTCTAGGAGAAGTTGTGTAAATCAATGTTGTAGATCTCATGGAGATCTACAACTTTCATGTTGAAATTTTCTTTTGAATCATCTTGCATCATGGTGAAAAAATTGCTCAAAGTTGTGAAAAAATATGAAGTTTTCAACACTTAGAAAAATTTCTAAGCTTGAAAACTTTGACTTTTCAAAATGAAATCTTGACTTTTTGATTTCTTGATGAACAATTTTCATATTTTGACATATTTTGATGAATTGTGATCTTTGACACTTGATTTTGACCAAAAAGTCAAAGTTTGACTTTTCAGTATATAGTTGACTTTTGATCAGTTGACTGAAAATCAGCTATCAATCCAATTGATCTTGAGCAATGTTTTGAGTCATGACATTAGGTCAAAATTATGCAATTGAACTCTTGAGATCATGCCTCAAACCAATTAACCATTTTCTAGGTCAAAAATCAGAAATTGCCCTTTCCCAATCAAACCCTAAATTTGACCATTTTGCCCTTTTGATGATTTGATCAAACTTCTTGAGGAATTGTGGTCCAAACTTGATCAAATGATACATGTGAGTTTATAATGTTGATAAGGATAAAAAATTATGAAGTTTTATTATAAATTGGCCACAGTTGACTTTTTCCCAAATACAATTGATTTTTAGGTCAACTGGTCAATTGACTGAGCAAAGATGTGATCCAAGGCTTGAAACTTGACATGATCAATTGTTAGGGTCCATAATGATCCATGAAAGTCATATGAGGCATTAAAAGTTCAATTATCCTTGTGCAATCTCAAACCCTAATTTCAGTCAGCATTGCTTAAGGAGGTGTCTTGAGCTGATCAAACCTTGTGCAGTCTTGAACCAAATGAGATCTTGTGAGAAAATATTTGATAAGTGAAAGGGAAGTTTGTAAGAACAAGTGTATCTCCGTGGGGAGCTCCAGTGTTGTTATTAAAGAAAGATGGGAGTATGAGGCTCTGTGTTGATTATAGACAGTTGAATAGACGATTAAGAACAAGTATCTGCTTCCAAGAATAGATGACTTAATGGGTCAATTGGTGGATACTCGTGTGTTTAGTAAGATTGGTTTGAGGTCGGGTTACCATCAGATTAAAGT